TTGTTAGATAATCATTTACATCATCCTAAGGCTTTACTTATTTTCCACATGCAAAAATTATAGCGTGCGCATTTTACGTATTCAAGCACAATTTAATAAAATTTATTTTGCACAGGATATGACATCATAACTTATAATGAAATTTTTCATGCAGTGCGAATTGTTAAAAAGTACGCATCAATAAATTAAATTCTGGTTATTATACAATGATTCTTAGTTCTTTTAAAGTAAATATGATTTTCCGGATTAGTAAATTAAAAATCAAATGATAAATACGTTTATTGTATGGTTACCCAACTTTTAATATTCACAAAATGATCAAAAAAACAAAGAATAGTGCTACGTCACACTGTACACAATTTTCCAGTGATGGTAAGTATTTAGTTATTGTATCAGTATATATCGATATGTACGTACGTACGTACGTTGTGAAGGGCATAATCGGTCTTAAATTCTATTTTTATCTTTTATCTCCAATTTTGCGGTAAAAGTGTTACAAATCCCTGGATTCCTGGTAATCGGGGAATTCTTGGAATTCAATGAATGATGGGAATTGCGAGAATTCGTAGAATAGTTAGAATAGCAAGAATTCCTAGAATTCTGTTATATGTAACTATTAGGTGTTTCCTCCAAAATAAAGATAACTCAGTAGAGTTCGACTCAATTAAGAGTCTGTTATCCCGACTTTAGCGTTCCGCTCTAATCCCCCATTAAGTGAATCTTATATCTCCGTGATTCTTGAGTGACGTAATCTAGACCCTAATAACTCAGACCAACGCCTCTTTCGTCTATTAGGGTTTAGATAGAGTTTAGTATATTGTCTTAGATAGTATTTGTGTTAGTTGATACCCGTATTGCACTTATTTTGGGATTCTGTACTGTACGCTGTTTCCATCTAGTCCACAAATCTGTAAATCACACACAAATAATATATATATTTTTCTAGAATTTGAATGAAGTCCATTGCAACGCAATCAAAGTTATAAATACTCTATTAATGAATTGCAGCAGCATATAAGCTCATGTAACTTACCTTTTATGTTTTAAAATTAAACCATTTTCTTGTAAAGTTTTTGATTTAAATGCTTATAAAAGTCATTGTTACTAATTTATTAGGTTTATGTTTACAAGTCTTTAAAATAGCAATGCTACTAATATGGAAGCGTGTGGATGATATTAAAGCTTATGTATGAAATAGTTATTGAAAAAATAGCATGGAACCTAATATCGATAATCTTTACGATGTTAGGCAAATTTGGGTTGAAAAATCATAGTAACACACGAAAATTCACAAAAGAGGGAATATTAAATCTCTATGTTAATCTCTAGATAAAATTGATTAAACCTTGATAAATCAAATCCTTACCACGGTGCGATGTGAGAATGTTATTTTAAAGGCAAGAAAAAAAAAAAAAGTACGTACGCAGCTTTCTACTATATCTGATATGTAGCAATCTCAAATTCCGATCAATTTGTCATTTAGCGTTAGTCTTACTACGGTAATAGCCTGTTTATGCTGTGCAACAATACGCAAAAATAAAGTTATTGTCAGATTTATAATTCTCGGAATGCTATTCTACACTTGTAATTTAGATTCATTTGTTTCCTATCGGATTGGTAAAGTAGCACAGTATGGGAGGTATGAAAATTGAGCAAAATTTTGATAGAACATACGTAAGTACGTTAAAAAAAATTAAAAATTATGTTATTTTGTGTTTAGTACGTTCGAAACTTTTTTTAATACGTAAGTGATGTCAAAAAAAAAAGAAAGAAAAAAAGATATTGAAAAAAAGGCATTGTTCTTAAACACCGAGTTCAATATTATTATTGAGTCTTAAATATAAATTTACTAGTTCGATTCTAGATTTTCTCTTATTAGATAGTTCAAGTAAATTCAAGCACATCTAATTTTTATTGAAATTAAGCACAAAGATAACTAAGCATATTTATTATAAAATAAAAAATTCAAACTCAAGCCTGCTTTTTAATTGCCGATTTTGTAATTATATAGCCTTGGCATCTTTTTTCTAATTCAATTTAATCGGACGTTCTAATAAAGGATTTTTTTTTTCAATTCATATCTAACAATAAATAATTTTTATTGTTATATTGTACTATGGATATTTTTTTAACTATAAACGTTGATTCAATTTCTGTTACTTCAATTACATCTTAAAACCCCAGAATACGTCACGACATGTAATAATACCTGCTGTATTATTGCGACACACGTGGAGTAATGCAATATATGCCGTAAGTCGTAATAACGAAATAAACTTCATATAAAAGTGAAAACTTGGAATTGTTTAGCTTTTACAGTAATTCATATATATATTTATAGTAAGTTTTATTGCTTTTTTATTCAAAAACTATACGAGATAATATTACTGCACTATAAAATAAAGCGTACATTATGAAATATGGTGCATATTATGCAATGTAAATCAATTACGTATGTACTGTGCGTATGAAGTTTATTTCGTTGCTACTACAAAAATTACGACCCACAACGCATTATTTTAATAGTATCGTAATTACGACCTACGTCAATACTACAAAAAAATTTCTACTTCACTACAATCAGTCGTAATTAATCACCTCAATACAGTAGCACCATTATTATTGTTGGTAACGAAAATCTTTCTTTCGTATACATTAGCATTAGTGAATTTACGTCTTGTTGTTAAATAAAAAATATCAATAAATATCATTTTAAAAAAATAATTTTAAAATAAATATTTGATACAATTTGTTGCTTTTAATTTCACTTTAATCATTTTTTATATCGTTATGAAACAGGTTCATATTATCATTTTAAAAAATTCATGTATTTACTTGATCAAATTAAAACTCTTTGATGTAGAATATATTATTTATATTAGGGTTTCAGACCTAGGGTTCTGGTTTCTGATTTCGAATTAAATTAGTGACGTACCTATAAATTCTATTTATTATTATTTGTAAGACTATTTATATTATAAGATATAATATACATCATCAAAAAAACGTTTTTTCATTTTCTAATTTTGAAATTTCAAACCAAAAATAGCACCTTTCAAATCCTCACTTATTTTCAAAATAAGTTAACTCTGAACCCCCATTTGCAACAATTAAATAAAAAGTTGATTTGCTACCATAAAGAAAGATATTGATAAATATACGTATAGAAATCAATCATAAAAAGTTTGAGGGCGTGATCAATCATTGTTTAATGAATAGGAATTAACAATACGTATTTTAATTAATTTATTATTGGTCACACCCTTAAAATATCTAAGCAAAAATATTTGAATTGAAATATGAGTATAAACCTGCAGCTGCATATAATGATAAGTTTCGAGTTTTCACTCTCACGCACTCTGCATTAAATATGTAACCGTATGTCTGAACATAATTTTTCATAATGTCAGTACGTACCAACATACCTCTATATACACCTTATTATTTATTCTTGGCATGCATGCGTACGTACTGTACGTACGATACTGTACGTATGCACATCACTACAATCACTACATTTAAAGAATTTAGGTCAAAATTCCGAAAATAGAATCCTGACAGAATCAAAAGTCCTAAAAAAATTGGCCAACATTAAGATAATCCTGGCTAACTTTGTCGGCATTTTGGCCCTGTCAGGATTCTGTTTATCTGGATTTTGACCTAAACCTATATTAACGATTCTTCAGGAGAGTTGCACGAATAGATCGATTCTTTTGCAGATATAGCTTCGATCATTATTATCACTGGGTGTTAGCGGTCATTTTGGCCTTTTCGACCAAAAAAATTTATGAACTTAGCCGAATTGGCCGTTTTTTGGCCGGCCAAAGTTTCTTTGGTCAGTAAAATTGCCAACACTACTGCGTGATGTCAATGTGTTAATTAATGAAAGTATATACATCTTAAAGTGTTCTTCCAGACTTGATAACGTTTGTAAATCAGCATGTGATACGAAAATCTTGATAGTACAAATATGTGATTACTACTATTTTCTATTAGCCATTTAATAATAATATCAAGATTACAGAGTATTAATCAAAAATATCTTGTACAAGCGGAAGCTTCGTTCCGCTAATACCTAACAGCCTAAGTTATTTTTTAGGTCAAAATACAAAACACAACCTTCTTAAATTTGATAATAATTACTTATTTTTATTTTTATTTTTTTTAAATCTAATTATATTTTCTAATAAACTACATATGTATGTTGCACAGCGCCATAGACGCTGAACTTTGCTTAATGACGAAATAATTTACATAATGTTTTTTATGTGGATTTTTTAAGATATGTTGTGCCTTAGATTACTTGCATTGTGCTACCACAAAAAGACATAATACTAAAAAAGTAAGGTTTGAACGGTTCAATGAAATAAGAATATATTTAATAGGAAAAAAGTATCTAAAAACAAATTAATAATTGCATAACATGTACGTAAGTAGTTTTTTAAATTAAGTTTTTATTTCAAGACATATAGAAGTAAAATTACTTGCATGATTGTTTTTTCTTTAAAAATATAAGCCAAAAATAGACTTGACCCATGGAAACCGCTTTTCATGGATATGCTGTACTAAAATTAAAGAATTTCGATGCACACCGATGTTATTTGCTTGTCATTTATCTATGGTATTCCCAAAAATGGCTTAATAACTTTCATAAGATAAATCCAAACTAAATACATCCGCTTCATTAATTAGCGAATTGGTGAATTAATATTATTAATTATTTACAGTATAATTGAAAAAAAACGAAATGTACAATATATTTTTATTACTTTATTTATGTAATCTCACCCATCGGAGCGCAAGTCCTACATGACCGCTTATTTACTCGTTCAAGAGAAAATTTTGATGCTTGCAAACTAATATAAATTATTATAAATACAGAATATTATATTATTAAAAGTGATTAATTTAACTATTTTTTTTTTTTTTTTTATAAATAAAGCATTGTTTCTTTTTTTTTTACCTTTAAAAATTTATAATAATTTTTAATACTTTCAATCATGAATACATTATTTGTAATTATAATATCATTACTTTGCGTCATTGTAAATTCTTCACCAACTTCTAATCCAGGATTCACAAAAATTAATCTAAGAAAAGTCTACACATCAGAAATAGATTCTGAATTATTATCTTTATTAAAACGTGATCCTCAAGGAACTGCAAAATTAGTGAATCAAAATGATAGGCGTTATGTTGGCTCAGTATTTGTTGGTGGTCAAAATTTTACCATAATATTTGATACTGGATCTGCCAATTTGTGGGTTCCAAGTGTTTACTGTACCGATGCTGCATGTACAGGTGCTAATATGTATGATCCTGCAAAATCTACTACATATAAAATGCTTCCTGCTCCAAATAATTTTTCTGTTAATTTCGGTGATGGTTCACAGATCCAAGGATATAAAGCTACAGATACTGTCAGCCTTGGTGGTCTCTCTATTACACAAACTATTGGTGTAGTAACAGTCTTTGGTTCTAGGTCTTATAGTGGTGGCGGTGTTATGGGCTTGAGATTTACTCCAGATGCGTCTTTTAATACACCTACTGTAATACAAACTATGAAAGCGCAAAATATATTAAATAAAGCTTTGATCAGTTTTCGCTTTAGTCCAAACAGCCCAAGTTATCTAACACTTGGTGACGTTCCAAATGAATATTCAAATAGTATTTCGTATAACAAAGTGGTAGATAATAGTTCATGGACTATTGCAATGAGTGATGTTCAAGTCGATGGAAGTTCTCTTGGACTTAAATCAAATGCTTTAGTTGACACTGGTTAGAATTTTTATTTTTTTTTTCATGTTTATTCAATTTTTAAACCATCTAAACTTTTCTTTTAATTTTTTATTTTTAATAAAAAAAAAATAGGTGCTACCATTATTTATGGAGATTCTGATCATGTTTCCACTATCCTCGGAAAAATTAGTGGCGCTAGTCTTTCTAATAATATATGGTGGATTCCTTGTGACACTAAAACAAAAATCTCTTTAGTATTTAATGGAGTACCTTATGAAATTGATCCTAGTAATTTTATAAGATCAAAAAATGCCACAACTGGACTATGTAGATCAGGTATACAACCACAACCAGCTGCAACAGCTGCAGCAGGCCTCACTTGGACTCTCGGTGATGTATTTTTAACAAACGTACTTGCTGCATTTGATTTTGATAATTTACAAATTGGTCTTGCTAAACCTGTGGCTACGGTAAGCTGGTCTTAATATCTAAAGTTTTAAGTATTATTTTTCTTTAAAATGAATTATAACCAATTATTAATACATTATTAGGGATCCGGAACTCCTGCGAGCGGAACTGCAACCGGAAATGGAAATGGAAATGTAAATGGAAATAATTTTAAAAAATCTGACGCAAATAAAAATAGTTTAAGCCTGTTATTCTTCATTATACATAGTTTTATTATTGCTTCATTCATACTGCACTAATACCTAAAGAGTCTTACTTCTTCACAATATTAATCTTATGCTATTTTGCATAAAAAATTTTTCCAATGAAGTGATTGTATTGGAATCAGTATTATACACGGGATAGTTGGGACATATTGAGGTTTTAAAAAAACAACTCAAAATTTTATTAACAAAAACTGTTTAAATTTTATTTTACATGTATTTTTATTATTACTTTTAATATAACTTTTTTTTTGAGAATTGATGGGACAATGTTGGGACGTCCCAGGACGGGACAAGGTCAAAAAAAGCTCGAGACAATCAAAATGTACAAAACTGAGTAAAATAACTCGCACATTGTTTAATAGCAATTTAATCTGTAATAAAAATAAATGTATTTTTAGGTCATTATATAAAATGGATCCTTTGTAGAAGTGCTTACTGTACATCTAGTTTTCTTAGGTACGGCAGGGTTGGCAATGGAGTTGTGAATGGAGTCATTGGATACTGGTTTATTGAGTTCAATTCGTAAGACTACAGAATTCATTGCTAACCCTGTAGGTACGATGCCAAAGCCTACTTTATTTTAATTAGTCTGATTACATGCAACAAAATTTACTACTTTATTATGATTTATAATTTTATTACCAAAATTTTTGAAAAACCCTGCAGCTGATCATAATAATTAGCAATAAAAAAAATATACCTCGTTAGTATTATCGTTATAATTCTGTATCTATATATTTGCTTAACACTAAAATTACTGCATGCGGCTTTTAACAATTATTTAATGGTATAATTCGTAATGTCGCATCGCAGCATCATTATAATAGAATAGGTTAGTTCGAAATTATAGTCTTGGCATGAAGAATTATCTAATACGTAATCTTGTAAATATCGATCGACTAATCACATAGATAATCAATTTTGCAATTACTGGATTAGGTAAAAAGTTACAGTAAAATCGCAAAGCAACGCAGAATTGATTTACAAATTATTTTAAAGCATTTAATTTTTATTACGTGATACATTATTATATTTAATTTAAACACCGATCTTTGGATGCAATTTTTTAAAAAACATTGTCATTGCGAATTAAAAAATTTATTTATATCTTCTAAATACATGACGTGATAAAAGATTTAAATCAGCATTAAATTGATTTAAATGAAAAATCAGTGATTTATAACATTGTGATTTAAATCATGTGCCATCCTTAGGTATATTTTCGAATTTCGACCTAAATTAAACTTAATTCGGGCCATTATTTGAAATAACGTTCATGGCCATTATTTTGCGGCTTTACAGACTGATAATCAAGAAATTGGAATTAATGCTGTTCGTTTAATTTTAAAAATAGCAATGATCAAGTAAAAAACAATGCTTTAAAGTAGGGTTGTTAATGGATTGGGTTGGTAAACTATTCCTCAACCCACTCCAACTTGGTTTGGGCTTACTCCGAAGCCGCTCCGGATTAACTTAAAGTTGCACCAGTTCACTCCAATTTCACTCCAGCATATCTTTAATTCACTCTAACTTAATGTGAAATAGTGAGAATTTTGAAATTTGTATGAGATACCATGTAGAAGATATTAATGAAAATTTAAAAGTTCTTTAACTTATGCTTTATTGGGTTTCAAAAAAATTTAAAGATAGCAATAATCTTGTAATCGTATTGTTATTTAAATTAGCTTATTTTAAGTTGTATAAAATTGAATAAATTAAAGTTTATTTACTTTTAGCTAAACTCCTTTTATAAATAACAAGAGAATCAAATAACTTTTGCAAAATCTTCATAATACAACAAAAAAATATTTACTGTATATCAATCAAATGCTAATATTAATGATGGGTGACGAATCTGATGAAGCCTGACTAAGACTTGATTTCGTCAAAGTTTTGTCAGGTTAAGTGAGTCCGAAAATAATGAATTCTACGGACAGTGCTTAGGGACAACGACCCTAACGTCGCTCGTATCCGGATAAATCTGCCGCTTAGTTGGATTTCGAATTCGCTTATAAAGCAATAAATCATTTATCATCTTTTTTACCGTTACTACGTTTGCATAATATAAAGTAGATCCTAATTTGGCGCAGTGCTCAAATTTTGGCATTATCCATTGAACCTCATAGAAAGACATTTATATGATTGGTTAATTTTGTAGATCTACCCGTGATCTCCCGTGATAATTAACCAATCAAATACATAATTTTTA